ACGAAAAGATTAAAAAATGTAACAAATTGCTCTAGTAGAGTGGTACAGTAAAACTTGAGCTTTCAAATCTCTCTTAAAAAATCTACTATAAGGTCGGGGAATTAAGTAAGAACTAATGGATTGTCATCAAACCGAAGAAGAAATCGCTGGAGAAGTTCAAAAGACTCTTTTTACTTCCTTGTACGAAGTAAAAAGGAAGTATTGTAATCGCGAAAAGTTTCAGGCATCATATTTCAATGCAAATATCCATTTTCACCGCTATCGAATGCAATTTAACGATGTTTTTGCTTGACATCTGTACGTAAGGACAGCATAAAGGACTCTTTTCCCCCCAAAAAATTGTAAAACTAATTTAAAATGAATTCTAAAGAGAATTTTTCGTGGCGTCTCTGCGTACGTACGTACGTATGTATCTCGCATAACTCAAAAACGAGTAGCCTTAGAACGTTGAAATTTTGTATATAGGATTACTATAACTTGTAGATGTGCACCTCTGTATTTTGGTTTGGTTTCTGTTAATCGGTTTGGTTGCACCAAAAGTATATAAATATATTTATATATGTATCCACTCTGTTACTCGGCTCAGTGATCTCAGTTTCTTTATTCTTATATATTTGTAAATTGTGCATTTTTTGCTTTAAAAATGATTGAATTATGCTGTTCTTCTGTTCCGGTTAAGGTTTTTATGCGTTTAGTAAATCTAGAACTATCAACAATTTAAAAGTTGTTTAAGTGTCGCTAAGCCTAATAATTTTTGCCGTGTCGGCCATTGCTTGTTTACATTTGAAACAACAGAATAATAGATTTGTTGCCAATCTAGAGAAAGTAAACTTCGCAATAACAAAGATAACGCCTTCTTTTATTATTGCGAATTAAATCACGCCTTATCCATTCTGGAATTAATTCAAGGAAATAAGTGTTTAAGATTTACTTCATAATTTTCAATACAGAGATTTTGAGTTTTTATGTATTTTTGCCTTGTGGCGAAGTGAGAACTGAATTAATTGAATGAGAAATACTGAATCGTCTGTGAAAAACTGTTTCTTTTTTTGTTGTTGTTCTTTGCTTAATTTCTTTTATACATCGTTTTGTATTTATTATAGCATTTGAATAGTACATGTGGCAGCGGTTAGATAATTCTTAAGATGATATGAATTTCGTGCATTCTGAGTTAAAAAATGATTGAAATGTAGCTCTGTTAAGTAAGCCTAGCGCCAGAGTGTCTCTGTGATAAACAAATATAGTGAATTTTAAAGAGTGCACTTATTCTATTGTGGTTTATGCGCTATGGACGAAGTAGATTTACTGGTAAACAAATATAGTGAATTTTAAAGAATGCATTTATTCTATTGTGGTTTATGCGCTATCGACGAAGTAGATTTAATTCAATCCAATAAGTTTAAATGAAATGAAGAAAAAATGCGTATAATTTAATATTCCGTACAAGGAAGTCACGTGGTGCACACATCAGATTTTTTATGAAAGGATTTTAGAGCTCAAATTTTTCAGCTGTACTACCCGATATTAATAGTTTTAAAAAGGCAGTTCGTCAAGAGTTTTCGAATTCATCAAGAGTTTCTATTGTATCTGGAAAACAGTAGCAATGCTTTTATTATCATGGAGAACATTTTCAAGGTATCGTATTAGAGAAATGAGGCTTGTTTGGGGAATCCATGACATTGACTTGCCCAACAGTGCTATATTTATTACTTAGTGGCGTAAATGTGTTATCCTTCTTTGAAAATGGATAACGTTAAATGCCACAACCTGTAATTAATAAAAGATATTTCTAACACCCTATATTACGTATATCGGTATAGTTTTCTTCTCTTATTTTTGATTAATTTACATCTGTTTATTTATTTATTTATTATGCTGGTTCTTTCATTATCGTTATCAAAGTCATAATTTCAAAGGAGGTTTTTTTTTACTTACCCTGTAAGTAAATCCTACTTGAGTTTCCTTGTTCGTTTAATATTTTTTTTTTTTCCTTTTACAGAAGTAATAATTGATTTTTCCTTATGTAATATTATTTATATTGTCATTAAGACATATTCATGTACGTATTCAAGTTTAATTCATGCATGACTATTATCTAGTGCTTTTTTTTTAATATTTTGTGGAGGTGGGTTATAGCTTAACAATCACAATATTGTCCCCTGTAAAATAGCATGTTTTGTTCTTTTAAAAATAATATGCAGTATCCTTTCTCAATGTCTGTCACGTTACTTTTAGTCTTTTCGTCTTTTGAATGGTTATGTGTTTTCTAACTTTTAATTTATATTTTTCCGGTGTATCTTTTTATGCGCTTTAAATTAACCGAAATTATTTTGCATAGACATTCTAATTATTTATGAAGAGCTTATAAGGTATTTCTCTCGGTTCGATTCCAGGTGAAGGTGTTGCAAAAGAAAGATGTCAGAAATCAGAATATTTAAAATTGGAAAATACAGTACATTAATTCATTTGAGTAAATGGGAAACATAAAATGTGTAAAAACGATTTACTAATCTCATTATTTTAAAACCGAGTGTTACCGGATAATTTTAAAAATAACTTCAGATGCTGCAGAAAATGTCTTAAATCTATATATACACATTATAAGCAGACTTTTTTCGAAATTCTACAGATCAACATTGTAAAGAAAGGAAAAATTGCATAAAATAAATGCCGCCATGCGGGAGTACAAAACAGCTGCTCTCGGTTGGCTTTAAAATAAAGCGATCTCCGTTGCTAGGCAACTACATCTCACGTGGCTTAGTTGTCAACATGACTTGTGATTGGCTTAAGAGAAGTAATAGGAGTGCCAGTTTAGAATTAATATCGCCAGCGGTGATTAAATTGTATTTCTTGTATATCGTCGTCTTGTTCTGAGAATATTTCTTAATGTGTGTTTCATCAAATTTCGTGTTTTCTAAGACAATTTTTCTAAAAGATAATAATAAGGAGTAAATAAACAAATAAGTTTAAAACAAGGGGGAGATAGAAGGAAACTGCAATCTAACTTTTTTATCGGTCCCAAGAGTGCATTCTCTAGTAATCCCAAAATTGCATTCTGCTGCCTCAAAGAAAAGACATTAAAAATTTCAAAAAGTTAAAAAATATTTAAAAGACAAATTATACAAAACACCATAAAATAAAAAAAAAGTAATAATTTTGTGTCAGTTACGAAACATACGGCATTAGAAACATCTTTTATTATTTTCAACAAGTCGCCAATGTTTATAAAATTTTCAGTTGAATGTATCATAAATTAACTTTAATTTATATTAATTAAGTACGCTATTAAGAAAGAAAAATTATTTAAGTTATGAGGTGTGTGTATTGTTTTAAAACGTTCAGTTTGTTAATAACAAAATAATTAATTTAAAAGATAAATGAAAGCTCTTACACCTTGCCGGTGATAGATAAATCTTAGATGTTTTGTTTCGCATAGTAAATAATACCCCTTTTTTAACGCTCAGTTTGTTAAGCATTGACGGACTTATTAAATCTGAACTATGAAAGATTGAAGTTAAAGATCCTATGCTTATCAGGAATGGCAAACTTTCTGAGAAAGGGGTACATGTGAGGATGTATGGAAGATAAATTAAAAGTCTCATGTTTCGTGATAACAGAGGTAACTCTCACCTTTTATTGATTACAATAAAACTTCAGATTTCGTTAAATTATCAATTGGATCTATTAACAATTAAATATCTTAAAATTTTTATCAATTAAATGTAGTTCTAAAAGAGCAAAGCTTAAAATTATTAATAAATATGTTTATTTCTTTTAAATCGCTCATTATTAAATACCTGTAGCAACAAGATTATATCTGAAGGATAATTAAAATTCTTATGCTTTGCCGAATGGCAACACTCTGGGTTACAACTCTGAGTTACGCGAGAAAATGCATGAGAAATAAAGGTCTTAAACCTTTTGCAGTGACAACTCTTGGCAGTGAATGCTTCTAGATTCTCTCCACTCTTTTCATCCGTCAGTCTCTGACGCATGATCTTTCTTGCAGATTTTATTTTTATTTTTTATTTTTTTGCCAGGACTGGATTTTATATGTTAAATGGAAACAATACACTTCCTTCAAGGTATATTCATAAGAGATTTTTTCCCGTAAATTCCTCCTGATTTTAAAACCTTTTGTTCGAAATTAAATCTATATTCAGACTTATAATTCATCTTAAATAGCTCTCAATCCTAGTTGCATATTCTTCTTATTACGTTGATATGTATAAACTCCATTTGATTAGTTTAAATTCTAATAACTGCGAGAAGAATAAGCATGAAAAAAATTCTAATTATTTTATAGCTATGATAGTATAGTTTTCAGATTAAAGCACGATGCATGCTAAGTCCAGTATATGAACAATTTTGCAGTTGATATCTCGATAAGAGTTATGATGATTAACGTTTATTTCCGTAACAAAATCATTTCAGATTAATGCTGGTTCCGTTCATCACAGATTGTTTAGAAGCGCATCCTTCACGTGTAACGCATAACTGCCTGTAATTAATAAAAACCAGTTTCTTTCCAATTAACCATATGGTAACATGGTTCCTGTCTAAGATGATATTTCTGATAGGAAAGTAACGTGTGCATTTCTCACTGAAGGAAATAAACAATTAAAAAATCGTCTTCGAGTTTTGATAGGATTCACATAATTGAAAATGCAAGGATATCAATATTTTATACCCTCCAGGTTTTAAACTGAATCTCAAAAAATTAGATTGTAGTTTGTATGAAAGTACTTTTTTAATGAGTAGTCTCTGTAATGAAAAATGTACTAAAAATTAAAATAAAAGAAAGAAAGAAAGAAGATAAGATTTCTTAGAAAAACGATTGAAAAAATAAGTTGGAAATAACTTTCCACTCTGACTCTAGGAGACAAAACCAACATAACGAATCTTTTGGCGCAGTTTGGCGACCTTCTTTAATAACGCTTTTCCTGTAACCCGAAGTAGCGGGAGGCACCGTTCAATAGTCTCCGATCTTCCCTTGCAATGAAAGAAAACATCAGAACATGTGCGTTAGCCGGCGCGAGTATTTTCAGTGTTTCTTCTGTCTGACTTGACCAAGAATAACCCGTGAAATTTATAAAAGTTTAAGAATATGTTAAAGGATACCGAAGATTTTAATTAAAAATTCCATCACAGTTATTAAAAAAACTTTGATGAATTATATTTGAAACGAATATTTGAATTATTCGTTTGAACTGCTAAATGAGATTTTTGTTTAAGTTTATTAATTTGGTTATTTTCATGTACAGTTGTTAAACTGTTCATAAAATGAATAGCATAAATATTATACAAAATCATCAAGTTTCATTTTTTCTCCAATTCTTTTGACAATGAACTTCATTCGACGGCGAATATGGAGATCATGAAAAATTGAATTTCCGGGACTTTTTTCTGTTGTGCCATAAAGTATTGAAAGTGACACTCGATAGTTGACAAAATAACTTTCCAAACCAAACTATGACTACTTCAGCCAAATCGATGTCTGCGAAAAAATCGCCCATTTATTACGTGATAATTAACTTTCGGCACGAAAAACTTTATTCGCATTACTATAAAGGTACTGATGTCGATGGAAGTGTTGGAAGATCAAGTTTTCTGCCTTCACAAAGAAGAGTAGTCCTCATACGGGCCAAATTATATTCAAAACATGTAAGTAAAACTAATGTGTTTTATTAATATATACATTAAATTATGTTAGAGAGTATTTAAGTTGTTTCTGTAGATTCGTTATGATTTGATGTCATGTCTTTGTTGTGGAAAGCCGTGGGTGACCACGTATGCATATTTTTAATGGCTTCGAAAGATTAAAAAAAAATGTTTGCCAGGGGAAAAATAAAATCTAAAATATGAGTTTAATATGGACTCAATGAAATTTAAATTGTGTTTACGTTTTGTTCCAGTATACCTTATGTACTGTTTAAACTTTTGATACATTTATGAAACTTTTGATTATTTTAATTACTAAATTTGAGTGAAAAATGCTAATTTAAAATGAATATCTCGTACATAATTATATATTTTAACGCCTTATTTTGTTTATATGGGGATTGGAATCTTCGAAATAAATAAAAAAAAAAAAAAATTGCTGAGGTCTCGCAAAGTCTGCACCAGTGTTTTATTGCATCTTCATATGCTGCTATAAAAATGTGCATTAAGTATAAATTAGAATTTGTATAGTTACAAAAAGTTAAACTGAATACAATGAATGAATGTTAAAGCAATACGAACAGTTAAAAAATGTGACAAATCGAAAAGGAATCCGAAACTTCTATCTCGCAAAGGCAGAGATAAGATACTAGATGTTATTTAATTCAGTGGTCTTAAATTGCATGTGAGCCGAATGCACGATCTGAAAGCAGCTGATTGGCAAGAACTCTTTTCTTAATCCAAGTGAAAAATTTTGAAATGAAAAAAAACTAAATAAAATATATCTTATAACTAAATTTTAATTTCGCTTAATTTTAAAATTCGCTCAATCACTTAAATAAGTGTCTTTAATCTAAAAACAAACAAGGTATGAAAATTTTCTAAGTTTCCAGAGAATTACTAAATGAGACCGAACGTGAAAATGAATATTAACAATTTAGTCTGTTTTTTTATTAAATTTTTATTCGAAACATAATTAAAAATACGTGTATTTTTATGTCAATACTTAAAAGCTTCCTTATTTCTTACTGCAACTTACTACTTGATGGTTTTTCGATTTTGAAAAGTTTGTAGTCTTGGAAAGAAATTTCTAGAACTATCTTCACAGATTGCAGATGCTCATCGGTCAATCAGGTTCTTTTGTTATTTTTAGATTTAAAAAAAAAAAGAGAGAGAGAGAGAGGGAGAGCTGTTGACATATAAATGCATTCCAAAACAAAACAATTGTTCTTAGCGCGAAAAATCATAACTAAGAATGTACCTTTTTTGGAAAGTACGAGTAAAAGTTAAAGAAAATAAGTATCTTGAAATCATTAATAAAATTTATATCATAATGTAAATTAATTAGCTCCGTTTATAGATGTTTCGGTGAGTTATTCATTTCGTTTTTAATAGAACTGAAAATAATATAAACTCGGAATTTAAGTAATTACAATCTTGAAATCTTTGCAGCACCGTATTTGCGATAAATGCATATTGAAATGTCTTCACGGGCTGCATAAAATTGCTTCAGGGGCCGCCAGTTTGAGACTACTGATTTAATTTATGTTTTATAAGTCAGAATCTTCAACTTGTTTTAGTGACCAATAATGTATTGCTATTTACTTTAAATTTTCAAAATGTTCCAAGATTTTATTTCAGTATTACCCTTCCATTTGTTTATTTGTTAAGTATATAATCAATGTGTGTTTTATTTAACAACCCCCCTTAATTAAATGTCAATGCAGTTCCATTTATGTAAATGTAATTTTTTTATACTATTTTGCATATTTCCTCCCTAACTAAGCTTCAATTTCTTTCCTCCGAAGTTTGGATATTTACGGTTAAGTTTACCATATTAAAAATTATTATACTTGAATGATTTAAAAAATAAATTACTGTAACCAGCATTAAGCGCCAGTTCGTAGATATGAAAAGCTATGAAAAAAACTGATAATCACTTAAAAATATTTTAAAACGAAGCAGCTCTTAAATAATCCTGACTAAATTAAATTTGTGGAGGGGAGGGGAATTTTCTCATAGACCATCTCTGAAAAAGAAACAGAATTAGAAGAAAGCATTTCCTCAATTCTTGTTGATGAATGGCTGTATTTCTAGCCAGGTGTTCATTTTTTTATTGTTTCTGTTTTGAATCAAACGCTCTTATTCTTTAATATCCCATCAAAGCAATTTCTAGTTTTATGCATTCATTTCTATATTTCGTGGTTTATTTCAAGTTTCGTGACCAATTAAATCATTCTTTCAGCTATTACTGTATAGAGAATTTCAATCGACTCTATAATTTCTACTAAAAAAATGTTCACAATTCCGCAAATCACGTGTGATCATATAAAGACTCACGAATAATCTCGAGAAAATTATTTATGTATTATGGAATTAGGAAACATTTCATTTAATATAAGCAAAGAGTGGGGTATAAATTACGTATTCAAAATCGTGACGAAATTGTTAACTGCTGATGTTATGTTAAAGTACGATCTGCAGGCGGAAGGCAATAAAATTTACACACAATTGAAAATTTTGGAATTTTGTCTAAAATATTCGATTGCATGTAAACTGTGCACCGTTAAACGCATAGATGTAAAATTCCGTGAAGAGGAATTCGGCTTTTTTATGATTGTCTGCAATTTAAATGAACGTAATGAGGATTCATAAATGAAATTAGGTTAAAACATATTTATATGCATTTTAAGTTCTATTTGGAGATATTTATAAATTTTTGTGTTAATTACATTTAATTATTAAACAGAAAAGTATCGTAGCTAAAAAAATCGTATTGAGACTTGAATTAATTATTCTTAACGAATAGTATTTCAAAATATTACCTAAAAATTTAAAAACTAGATTCATATTACATCAAATTTAAATGGAAATTTGCATTGGTTTCGTAGGAAAGTTTTATACATTTGCAAAGAAATTTAGAGAGATCTTTCTTTGTCAAAAATCAAAACATTCAAGCAGCTTGTTTAATCTTACTCAAAACACGTTGCTTAACTAGATGGAGATGATGTAAAATTAAGTAAACAATTTTTTTTAAATTGTCGTTGTAAGATGGATTCAGTTTTCGTGGAACCTTCTGTATTCAAAATCTGTCAGCTGTAAATTATTGATTTAAATTCGAATCCGTTTGATTAATCCACTATTCTACTACTAAGCTTCAAATGTAAACGAATTGCGGACTCGTTAGGCTTAGCACTGCGTAAATTTTAAATTGTTGATAATCCTACAATTATTGCATGCACATTAACTGAAGGCATAAAAGCCTAAACCTGGACATAAGAACAACGTAATTGAATCACTTGCAAAAAATGAACGATTTACCAACATATAAGAATAAAAAAACTGAACTAACCGAGCCGAATAACAGAGTATATACACGTTTTTGTGCGCCGATTGCAAACAAAAAGGGTGTTGCACAACTTTATGTCATAACAGTCCCAAATAAAACAAATCTCAATGTTCTAAGGCTATTCGCTTTTGAGTTATGCGAGATACATACATACGTAAGTACAGACATCACGGAAAAATCTCTTTTGAATCAATTTTAAATCCATTTTACAATCCGTAAAAAAATGGGGGAGTCCTTTATTCTGTGCTACGTAGAGATGTCACGCAAAAGCATCGTTCAAATGTATTTGAGAACGGTCAGAATGAATATTTTAATTGAAATATGATACCCGAAATTTTTCTCGATTACAATGCTTCCTTTATTTCGTACAAAAGTAAAAATGGAAGGGCAGGTAAAAGGTCAAAGATTCTTTAGTCCCGAATTTAAATTTAAACAAAATATGTAATTAATTTTTAATTGCAATATTTTCAGTGAATAATTCTACGCCGTTTGCCTAGAAAATTCAATCTTATAAGGGAGTTTCGACGTCCTTTAACCAAACTGATGACCGTACTTGTACGCACCTTCAAAGCAGCTGTATATAGTTAAAATAAGCAAGTATTGTATGCTGTACAGCAGCCGAGTTCTCATTTTCAATTATTGCATGTGCTCTTCTTGATTTTATTTTTAGTCTAAAGGGAAAATTTGGCTAGAAGGACTATTAATTTCGTTTTGGCATTTTGCGTTGTTCCACTTTTCAATGAAATTGTTTCAAAAAATAATTAAATGTATGCGAACACTTTGCTGCATCGGGAATTCTAAACTTATACTGCTATACTGCTTTTAAAAGTTTTGTAATTTTGCTATTTAATTTTATATGGCGCTAGTGTGTAAAAAATGATGCTAATAATAAAGATACAAAGGAAAAACAAAATGGGTTAGTAGGAGTAGATGTAATAGCAGACTGGTAGCGGGCTCAGCCAGAGTATAAAAAGCCTTAAGAAACCCTTTTGGGTGACCGTTAAAATTCGATACCTTTCAGATTTTTTTAAAAATATATTTTAACTCTGATTACTGTAGTTATTTTATAAGATGTCCACATAGCACATGTAAAACAGCTAAAAAGTTTCACTTTAAAAAAAAATCATTTTTCTTTCTCAAATGATCTCTAGTACCTTCCAAAAAGCGCATGACAGAAATTTCCATTGAAAAGTTAAATAAACAACCACGAAAGTGGATGATCATATGGCTCGATAAGAAATACGGTGGCTGGAAGATCTGGACTGATTGCATGCTAGAGTAGCGTTAAACGAAAGAATCAAATTTCCGGCTGATAATTATGAGTTAAGAATAAACCCAGGAGTTTCGCTGTCAGCACAGCAGTTTCGACTTCGTGAAATGGAATCAAAGATTGCGGAGTGAAGTGAATTTTTTATTATATTTCTTTGTTGGTTTGTTGTTGTTGCGTATGTGTACGCCAGTGACCTGATTATGCTAGGCTATTATTAGTGAATATTTCAAACACAGGCTGTTCAGCTCAAACTTTCAATTATTCATTTCAAAATTTGCTGTTTCAATTTTATCCCCTCCTCAGATTTCTTATTCTACTACTACCAGTTGCATTACTGTTAAGGAAAGTGTTTCAAAATCAGGAAACAAACTTCAAAATAAAGGG